ACAACTTATGATTCTTGTTATACTCTTACAAATATGATAGGCATATCACACATTTCAGATTATTTATAATTCATGTTTTGACTTTGCGTCAAAACAACGCCATTTTGGAGAGTCGATCACATTAGCAAAATAAGTAAACGTTAAGTCATTAACGAAGAAATGATATAATTGCACTTAAAAGTAAATGTTAGTGTTAAAACTAGTAAAATTAAAGTTTAGTGGTATAAATGAGTCAACACTTAAAGTTTGATGATACCTGATGTAATTTTTCCTTTTAAAAATATATATCCTTTGATAAATTCGTAAAAGAAATTTAAAAATAAACCACAGGGAAAAACACCTATACGTAAATTCAGACCCTCTTTAAAATTTAAGATATGCCCATGTCTGTTTGTGAAAAATTTATTAGGTGGATCTGGTTCCCAACGTCATCTTTGGTTTAAATCAATAACATTTTTTCATCTTATTTTTTAAGGTGAATCTTTACATCTTTTCTACATGTAAATAAAGAGTAAACAATTATTTAAAAGTTATTTTAAAATTAATGGATGTGATTTACTAAAATGATAAATAATATAAATAATATGGTGAACTGAGAATGTGAAACAATTTCTCCTGTTTGTGGCTATAGATTGCCAAACAGCGTTATGGAGACAAGGGATTATGGTAAATTACGCTGTTCACTTTCAAGTAGAGTACGTGGAGAAAACCAGCAGGCGAACTTATTTAGAGAATGATTACATAACATGGATCTCTTTTGAAAGCATCCTAAAACCTTTTTCTTTTTACAAACAGTTGTTGGGCTTATATTTGATAAATGGATGCAAGTGGATTGGACCTTAGTTTTTGAGTACCCTTCTCCCCATTCGTATTACGACGTTTCTTTTTGAACAAAACTCTCTCATCGTTTCTAGATATTTTTATTCATTTTAGTGTAGAGTTTGACAGTTTTTTCCAATTTCAATTTTTTATTTTTTAGATGACATGACATGATTTTAAAATATCATATAATATTTAAAAATTTTAAAATATTTTTAAAACGATAATATTATTATGATAATAATTTCATTATTAAATACTTTCTTCTCTTTCGGTAAATCTATGTATTAGGTGACTTTTATTTATTTATTTCTGATGTGAGATCGATATCAAAATTAAGAAATGTTATGTCACCAATCACCGCTTTAATTAATTAGTTCATAGAACTGGTGTGAGTGACCAAGGTACCAAACATCACCTAATGCCTTGTTCATTGAGACTTGATGCCAACACTAGGAATGGCAACGGGTCGGGTTCGGGGCGGGTTTTGCTCGTCCCGTCCCCGAACCCAAAATAAATCCCCATCCCCGATCCCGACCCGATCCCCGACGAGTTTTTTATCGGGGTACCCCGTCGGAGATTTTTTTTGCCCCGTCCCCGAACCCGAATCCGACCCGAAAAAATCCCCGAAAAAAATCCCCTAACCCGAACCCGATATCATTCAACCCGACCCGACCTGAACTTGACCGGGTTTCGGGTTTCCCCGTCGGGTTCGGGTCATACTGCCATCCCTAGCCAACACATCTAAAAGTACTGTTAGCTAAGCTACTTACTAACTGATAATTAACACTCTGTAACACTTTAAATCCGTACAACACACATTCGACCGGTTAGGAGGTTACACAAAACCACCAGAGTGGATGGTCAAACTTTTTCTCATTCTCTTTACTTTAAAACGACTATTTCAAAACCTTTTTTTTATATGAAAACATCCATATATACAAATATAACTTTACATTGGAGAACTCTCAAAATAAATAATTACAATTCAAAATATACAGACCAACACTTGACTGACTTTACCACTCAACTTTACACCAAGGTTTATAAATATACATGCCCTTTCAAAATCATGAGATGTACTCTGATATGTTCTGCTCTGGTCCAGACCTCTCTCTCTCTGAATTTCCTCGAAAACTCCACCTAATATGCATAAGGAAACAAATTCCAAACCCAGAGTTAATTAGCTCAGCGCCACACTAACAATTAGCTCATACTAAAAGTGCATCAGGGAAATACATCAAGATATGTCATCTCAACATTAGTAAGTATCCTCGTGATACTCGCTCTATACTCTAGGGTAGACATCATGGTGCGGTTGAGGGATCCCTGCATCTCGGAGCTTACACACCCCTTTAGTCTACCGAGTATGATGCTCGGAATCTCTGCATTGGTCAACACCCTCGACTAACCCACCCCTCACGGGTGTCGTACCTCATGCCCTAGTTAGTCAGTTTAAAGTGCCTCACGTACTACCTAAGGTTATCCAGACCACATCTATACTTTTGACATCTCTAGCCTTTCTAAAGGAACTCAGGTGTCCTGGCCGTTTCCTAAGTATTCAAACAGGGCTAGTCTTGTAACACCCATAATCCTTATACGTATCGAGATACGATCTAAAGATGTTACATCAACATTTCATATATTCCTTGATCATAAATGCTCAAAAATATGTTTCATTCCAAAAATGTAATGCCCTAAACCCGACTGGGCCTAAAGTGCCACACTGGGCTGCCGAGACAACCCATGATTTTCAAAACATGTTATTTTCCATTTCAAACATACTGAATGGTATCATAATAAAACATAAATAACTTATATAAAATCATTTTACAAAACCAGAGCTCCGTGACACATAATTTAAAATAAAATAATACAATTTGAAGTTTACAACTCAAATACATAGTAAGGTTCTATGAATACAAATGCCCACTAAAGCTATAGTACAATACTCTGTTAGAGATGCTGGAAGTCCCGCTGCTACGGTGCTCTACGAACAACCCAGGCTACTGAACTGCTAACGGAAAACATCTGAAGGTTGAGCTTGCAAAGCCCAAAGTATAATTGTTAATCTAGAGCAACATAAGAATGTCATAAACACAAGAATGATGAAGACATGGTACTAAGCAATGGGGATATTCATGACCTAGATCAAGTTCTACCTACGTAAGGCTTTACTGCTCTATCACTGAAGTAGGGGTCGCATGCTTCCCTTAACCCTCTGATAAGGGCCTCACTATGAGTACACCTCTAAAGGGTCTCTAAGCCTAACGACTGAATATGCTACACATTATCTAAATGTGACACTGATATTCCTATGCATTATCTGAATGCAAACCTGACATACTGTGCATTATTTGAGTGTAAAACTGACTATATCTGGTTTCACATAGCTTTCAAACACTAATTACTGAGGGAACCCCGATGTCACATAGCATTGGTGTAATTGCCACAAACATACTGAATGATCTCCTATTCCTCACATAGCCATCAAGTAGATCACTAAGGGGAACCTGGTGTCACATAACATCAGTACAATTCCCACACAAACTGAAGCATTGGCTCAGTTTCATATAGCTTTCAAGTCAAGCTTTAATATATATGACATATTTAACTGATGGGACTATACATGCATGACTGACACAAACATACATGAGGTAGGTCTGTTGGTGTGGTCGGAGGAATTTACATGCATGAAAAGCTTACCTAAGTGTATTTAACTAACATAACTAAACCGCACCTCGCGAGTGTTCTGGCCTCACACCCTAGTTAGCCCCTAAAGTGCCTCGCATACTGGTAATGCCCTACTAGGGCAACTAAGGTAACCCAAGTATACTTAAAATCATACTGAAAGTTTAGTTTTTGTTTCATATTAGTACAATTTTTCAAAATTTAACGTTAAGTTTTAATTTTTTTGAAAGATTAGTTACTAAAACGAAGCAAAATTGATAGTTTAGGTATTAAACTTGTAAATCTTTAACAATTAGATACTAAAATGAAATAAAAACTAAACACTAGGTATGATTTTGGGAAAAAACTTAAAATTGAGATATTAAAACGGATTAAAACTAATAGTTTATGTACTAAATGCGTAGTTTACCTTTTTTATATTGGTTTCTAATACTTTTACTTTCAAATTAAATATGGTTATTAAGCTACCGATGGATCTTAATAAGTAAATATTTGCTATTTTTCTATCAAAAAGAAATATTTGCTATTTTTGAAATGTTTATGAACTTATTTGTTTGATTGTTTACTATTTTTAATTTTTATGACTACTTAACTATAAGAAAGTCATTCTACTTTTGGAAATAAATAAAATTTTTAAAATTTAAAATTAAAATAAATTTTAGGGTAAACTACCATTTGCTACCTAAACTATTTGATCCGTTTTAGACTTTTAGTATCTAAATTTTTAATTTTTTCCAAAATCATACTTAACTATTAGTACATAAAATATCAGTTTTGATCCTTTTAATACATAAACTTTTAGTTTTTTAAAATAATTTAACGTAAAATTTTGAATAGAGATACTAAAATGAAATGAAAATTAAATTTTAGGTATAATTTTAAAAAATTTGAAAGTTTAAATACTAGAATGAATCAAAATTAATAGTCTATATACTAAACATGTAATTTACCCCAAATTTGATATATGTATATCAAACAAGAACACAAACATATATGATATGTTTTTTTTTGTGTAGTGTAAAAGCAACTTCGTGGTCCGGCCCGCCTCCATGCCTTAAGCTTCGCAGCTGCATGAGCTAATACATTGTTGATTATAGTAATTATTATTAACTTCTTTGTGCGGTTATTAATTTATTATAATTGGAATATGCATCTAAATAGAGCGAACAGTGCATAATTTTTTTTTCTGTATTTTTATTGATAGTTTATTTTTGTAACTATTTACATTTTATGATTTTGCTTTCTTGAAAATTTTAATACAAATTTCTAAAAATCATGCACTTATCGTGGAGGTGGAGGAACCCAGGGAACTGCAATGGTTAAGCTCAGTCAGTCGGAAATGTTACTTGTGCTCCGTTAACCTGTGTTCAATATTAGTAAGAAGTAAATTTATGAATGCATCGATATATCGATAAATTCAAGTTCAGATAATATCTGAAAATTATCCAGTGAATAGTGCATAAAATTTGTTTTTTTTTCCCCATATATACCAAGACATACAAGTAAACCTAGCAATGTATTTTAACCCAATGATTTGGGGGGAAGATGAACATAATCCCCCCAAGTAAACCTCGAACTCATTTATGCAGTCCGACACTTGCAGTTTTTCTTTTATATATTTGATCAGGAAGGCACACAAATTTGAAGCAACATAAATAATTCTGTGACCTGATTTTGATAGGATGATATATCCATGTAATTTGCCTCTTTCGTTACTCCTTCACTTCAAGTCCTTGATGCTATAGATGGAATCCGAATATTTTCTTCGTTTTGGTTCAGCCTCATCTGATCCACTCCTTAATGTTGAAAGATTCCTAGATTCCACGTTTCCCCTTTGCTTATTAACTGGAGACATTCCGTTGAAGCTAGGAATGAATTGATGTTCCACGTTAGGACCTGCTTCGACCCTATCTTCTGCTCGATATTCTGTAAGCATGATTGGTAGTGCAAGTCCTTGCCAGGACTCGCCTTCAGCCAAAACATGCCGGATGTTTAAATTAATCGGTTCCAAGTTCTATTCCATCTTATCCTTCGATGGAACCTGGATCAGAAGAGAAGACTCCCCAACTGTTGAATCAATCCCACCTGCGGAAGCATTTCTTTGATCTTCCACGGCAGCTTCATCAATAACAATGACAAATAGACATTGTCAATGCCAAAGTAAGAGCCAGATGCAAATACACACACATATTGATTGGAACGCATACCTTGAAGCCCTTCATTGGTCGTGATGAGATCAAGTTCAAGGAGATCTAAAAGACGCCCAAGATCGACTCCACTGGTCCAATTTTTAGGGGGTTGACCAACTTTGAGTTTCAACCGACCCCTGTTAGCAGTCCCACCCCAAATGATGCCAACGGGCTGTGGCTTCTCCCCTTCCTGTCCCGTTAATAGTATGAGGCTTCCACTGTCTCCTTCGAGGTCGAAAGTCTGCTGGTTCTCTCCAACAACCAGGAAATCAGTAAAGAAACAGATTCCTTTCTCATCATTGTACTCTAAAGCATATGCCATTATCGTCCCAGTGGTCAAGCCAGAGCTTCTTCCCGCTTTGACAACTTGCCTTCCAATGAGACTGCCGATCTGAGACTGCAAATCTATGATATGAACATCACCAATCTCACCTATCCCCTTTATAGTTGTAGTTACATTGTTTATATTGAAATCATCAGCAAAAGGAATAAAAGCCCCGTCAGCTCGCACAAATGTTTCTGCCGAAGGACCAAATCGTAATGGGCATGGAAGGGAGTCAAGACAATTAAACATCACTTGGCACAAATGTAAGGTTAAACATAGCATGCTTCAGGATTCTAACTCTTTGTTGAAATTCAAACAAGACATCCTAGCATCCTGATCTGAGTTCAGACAAATAAATTGGAACTGCATTACCTGGGTTTATACCGGCAAAGATTCCATACCATTGGTCATCTGTAATAAATGAGGTTGCCCTCTCTACAGCACCAAGGTACACTCCGGGACCAAGGTTGGGCGGTAAAGGATGAAACATCTTCTGATTTGGGTAGTCCAAGTCAACTGCAACATGCCGATTTGTAAGGAAACCTACCTGTCGATTTCCTGTTCGACTCTTCACAATAGCACCCAGTGTTCCATATGTCTCTTGACTGGCAACCTACATCCACAAGGAGTAACCGAGTCCGAGGGAAGTTGAGAGATACATCAACGTTTCTGGAAAGAGAATTTGTACATGCTTAACAATTACCTGTGAACCAGAACCAATGACCGGATCACTTCCTCTAAAGCCATCTACAAGCTCAGTATATAACTGTTCTTTAGGAGTTGCTGCAGGTGCACCATAATAAGAAAACTCCACAACATCCACATCACACCACACACCTCCGGGACCCTGAAACAATAATTTGAACAAACATTTTAACATCTGAAAATTCTTGCTAAGATCCAATACGTTTGTTAAAAAACTTCCAAAATAGTTTAAAAAAAATCAAACATGACATGAAATAGTGAACTTCCCATGGTTATTGTACCAGTGAAGCAAAGAGCATTAGCTCACCTCAAGAGCAGCAGGTAAGCATTGAAACTGGTTAAGCCATTGCCTGTGAACTTTATGAGCAACAAAGACAAGAATAGCTGGTATATCTGTCAGGACACCCCGACGGATACGGAACCCAATTGCTGTGCCAAGACTAAACCTACGCAATTTTTTACTGTGGAACGCTCTAATGGTCATTAACTCGAGTAAAGTAGTTGCTCGCTGCCTCGATGGTAGCCGTCCAAGAGTTTCTGGCAACACCCCTTTCTGTAGGTTTCCAAAATAGTTTGCTCTATCTTCTGCTGCGTCAATTAATCGACTCGAAGTAGGCCATGAGAAGTAGGCAGCATTGCTCTCAGAATGCTGAGCGTTAGAAGCAAAGGGTTGAACAGGCGGAGGACTTGATGAAGGAAGATTAACATGATTGCAGCAATTTCTCTCCATATCTAAAGCAGATTCCTCTGATTCTGTTGATCCAGAGTGATGAAATCTTAAATCCGATCTGGTCTGCTCCATCTTACACCTCTCTTACACAATAAGAAATCAATTTGTCTCAAAACTTAGCACAAGTTTTAGTGATATAAGAAAGCAAACCAAAGTGCAAACTTGATCATGGTCATAGAGAATACTTAATAAACAGATAAACAAGTGTAGCTAAATAGCAAACCAGAGCAACTGCAAAAGGCAACAGATCAACTCAAATGAACAAGAGAAAGAAAGAGAAAAAGAATCAAGAGCAGTGAGCTTCAACGGTCTAACCCCTTGCATGGAGAAAATACTAATACAGTACAAAACTATGAAATGTCAATCGCAGTTAACAACGTATTAAATATGGATAGAACACATAACTATACTCAAATAACCAATAAATCACCCAAAAAAACATTAATGGAAACTAAATGTCTGACTCCCATTGAGGAAAGAAAATCTTTGCAACGGTGTTTTCCAAAGTGAAAGCAAACCAGGATGGAACAATGATATCATCCTCAGTGAGGGAAAATACTACCAATAGGATAATAGCTTAGATATCAGCAGATAGAGAGCCAAAAATAGATACCCTTTTATTGGAAGATGATGAAAACAAGGAGCAAAAATCGAACCTTTCGGATATGGGTATATCAGGAGTTCGTGTAATAATGGATTAATCAAAACCCAGAAAGCTAAAAAGCAACAATCCAACATATTAAATCCCAAAAATCAGATTAATAAATATATTTAAAAACTAAAAAGAATAGATAAAATATTCGGACAAATTTAGAAGCAAAGTTAGATAAAGTTATAACCTTTGTCGAGACGCCTGAGCATATATTAAGCTAAGACTCACCTATAAACAATGGTGGAGCTGGGATAGAGGACTCCAAGTCAAGCCCTTTGGAGGTTTCATGCTCTGTGACTATCGCACATAACTTGTTAACCTCCAAAAAGGATGAAACTTGAAATCGGTCACTACGACTGAGTCTATTTGAAGCTCTAAGAATAAGAGAGGCACTCAATTTAGAAAGATGAAGCTTTTTCTCAGTGATGGAAGAAAATATCTACTAGTTGCTACCTGCTGATTGTTATATTGCTTTGTCCAGTCAATCAATCTATAAATAAATAAAAATACTGCATATTTTGTTACAGAGTATAGACTAATCTAGGAACTATTTAGATAATGGGATTTTTCGTTTTAATTGAATGGCTGGGCATGTAAAGGTTGAAAAAGAAGAAACTGCAAGCAGTACAAGAGAAAATATAATGAAGAAATGCGGCAAAGGGTGTATAACTGTGTATATATATTTTTCTTATACTGATATTTCAGTCTGATGGGGGCAAATTAGGGGCCATCCATATTTGCCCCCCAAAAGCAACACAAATTCTTCTCTTAAACAAATTCTAGATCCTACCTATTTATTCATTTGAGATTTAGAATTTTGATTTCCTTCCATTTTAGTAGTAATAACAATTTTTGTTTCCCCTGTCACGCAAATTTTATTTATTTTACTGTGATAAAGGTGACTAAAGAAAATTGAGGCAATGATTTGAAAGGTTGGTCCACTACCATATAATAATGATGATATTGTTGTATTATACTAGTAAGAAATAGATGTCATGTGGGGGCATGTAAGGGTCTAATTTGGTGGTTGAAGAAGGCCTCAGTATTCCTCGAATCTCCAATTTTATAATATTACAAGTTTTTCTTTTTGTCGTCTTTAATGGGTTTGATATAAAAGAAAGAGAAAATCGCTTCAGTGACCAAAAATGCCTTATAATATACGATTTTAATCAACTTTTTTTGGATTTGCCAAAATGACCAACAAAATCGCAACGCGAAATAAAAATCGCAACGCGATCCCCAGAATCGCAAATCAGTTTCCAAAATCGCAACGCGATTCTTGAAAATCGCAATGCGATAGTACAAATTCGCATTGCGATTTTCCAAAATCGCAACGCGAATATGAAAATCGCAACGCGAACACATAAATCGCAACGCGTATCCGTAAATCGCAACGTGTATCCGTAAATCGCAACGCGTATGGGTAAATCGCAATGCGTATCCGTATATCGCAACGCGTATCCGTAAATCGCAACGATAATCCGTAAATCGCAGCGAGAATCTGTAAATCGCAACGATAATCCGTAAATCGCAACGATAATCCGTAAATCACAACACTGAAATTTTGGGTATATAACACTGAAATCATAAACTAAATCCCTAAATCGCAACTCATTCCATCTCCATCTATCACTCTCTCCGGCGACATCCGTTCCTATATCCAACGACATCCTTCCCAATCCGGCAACAGGTTTTAGTTTCGCAGCTCGTCTGTTTAGTAAATTAATTTACAACCATGAAATCATCTAATGTTGATCATGTTTGGATAGATTTGTGTTTTGGAGGGTCATGGGATAATGTTCATGGTGTTTTACAATATATGCCTTTACCCATGAATCTTCAACTAAAATTGTCTTTACAAAAGTTAACTTATGAAACTCTAATGCTACGTGTTTCAAATAAATTGAATTTAGAGCCCCTAAGTGGATTTAGGCTATCTTATCAGAGAAATGGTAAAGTTTATTTGTTAACCGACAATGAAGATGTTGAACGATTCATTGCTTACATTTGTGTTTCACAAGATGATGTTACATTGTATGTTGTTGAACCTAGAAGTAGTATTGTTGGGTCAGTAGCGGGTAGTAATCAACTAAGTTTTTCTCAAAACCCACAACCTTTCTCTAATCCAAATCCCAATCAACTTTCAGCACCAAATTCCGATTTTCGTATTGACCAGTTAGACGATGATGAGCCAACAGAAAAAATTGTGAGTACTAGTCAGTATTCGAAATTTGGTCTTGGTCAATATCCGGACTTTGATATTGGTCAATACACGGATTTTGATGATGTTTCAGAAGAAGAAACATACCCTGCGTGTAATGATTTTGATATTGGTCAATACCCGAATTTTGATGATGAAACAGCCGTTGCCGAAGAATGTATTGTTGATGATAATGAGGAGGAAGTTACGACTGTGAATGAACATGTTGAACATCCATTCTGTAATTCATATAATCCTGAAGAAAAAAAAGAAGAAGAAAAAGTCCCCGAAGAAAAGAAAATGCCACGGGCGTATAACTGGAATATGCCAGATTTACTTCAGATACCGGAAGAAGAGTTGATAAAGAAAGCAGTTGATTGTTACACAAAAGTTATTCGTATCAAGAAATATGATTGTTTTGATACAAAAGAAGACTTGAAGATAGCTTTGTATACGAAATGTGTGGAAGATGGCTATCAACTAAAAGTTAACAAATCAAGCAAAGATCGTTTCGAAACAAGGTGTATGATTGACAAAAACTGTACGTGGCGTATGATTGCAAAGAGAATAAAAGATTGCAAAATGTTTCAAGTTAGGATTTTTATTGATAAACATACATGTTCAAGAACCCAAGTTTTTCCTCACCATAGACAGGCAAACAAAAAGGTGTTGGGTGGTTTTCTGGCTGAGTTAATGTTTTTGAATGGCAGGGTATATCGGGGACATGAAATTATGACTGACATGAATGCTCGGTTCAAGATTAGTATATCATATTCTCAAGCTTGGAGAGCCAAATGTTATGCCTTGGAATTGTTGAGGGGGTCGCCAGAAGCATCGTTTGCCCAACTGCCGGCTTATTGTCACAATTTAAAGCTGAAAAATCCTGGGTCGGTAACTCATATCAAAACAGATAGAGATGGACGCTTTGAGTTGCTGTTTATCGCCATTGGTGCTACGGTTAGTAAATCAATATAATTTTGTTGACTCATTTTTGTTAGTTACATGCATTTCACATTTAAATGATTATATTTCTTGTGTATATTATTTTGTAGATTCGTTCGTTTATTACTTGCATGCGCCCAGTTATTATAGTTGACGGAGCACATTTGAAAGGTCGATACCTTGGAGTAAACTTATTAGCAGTAGCCATGGATGCTAACAATGGGATATTGCCAATAGCTTACGGGGTTGGCAAATCTGAAACCTCTGATTCATGGACATGGTTTATGGGGCATCTTAGGGATTGCATAGGTCCTATTAGCAATCTGACAATCATATCCGATAGGGCAAACTCAATTGACAACGCTGTTAGAAGGTGTTTCCCAGATGCTTTTCATGGACTTTGTGGTGTTCATTTGTATAGAAATCTAAAATCAAGGTCTGCTGGTATAAAAAAGCACAAATGGACATACTGGAAGGCTGTAAAAGCTTATCGGGAAGTGGATTTCAATAAGCATATAAATTGTTTAAGACGTGTTTTGCCTCAGTGTGCTCAAACAGTAGAAGATGTCGGGTTTGAAAGATGGTCAAGAGTACATCAACTTGGAGCAAGATATGGTTTCATGACGTCTAATAGTGCAGAATCAATCAACGCTCTAAGTCGTCATTCCCGGAAATTACCCATTACTATGTTAATGGAGTTTTTTCGAGCCTCTATTCAACAGTGGTACTACAAGAAAAGAAACCATGCAGGTATTATTTCTTTGAATTCGTAACTTATCATATTTATATATTTTACTAAGTATTGTTTATTTAAATTTACAGGAACATTGGAACATCGTGTTACACCATGGACTGAAAAAAAGATAACAAAACGTGTTGTGAAGTCAACGTCATGGAGAGTTGAACCATGTTCAAACACTTTGTTTCAAGTACTGGATAATAACTTAAATGGGCTAGTCGATCTAAATGTAAAGACGTGTAGTTGTATAAATGACAAACATCTGGTTATCCGTGTGGCCATGTTATAAAAGTTGCTCTTCATTTAAACCAAGATGATTCAAGCGCATACGCTATGGATTGCTACACTACAGAAGTTTATCGACAGACTTATGCCGAGATTGTCTACCCTATTCCACATCTTTCTGAGTGGGACATACCAGATGACTTACAAACAGTTTTGCCACCAGCCATGGACAGAAGGCTACCTGGCCGACCAAAAAGTCACGATCGTATACCGTCTAAGGGTGAAGAGAAGAAGAGATCGACATGTAGTCGGTGCAAGGAAAGTGGTCATACAAGGTTGACATGTGGATCACCAGTGCCATCAAAATCATCTTTTCCTCTACCAAAATATGGATCCTCATCAAAATCCAAAGCTCATATGGTGTCAAGCAAAAGGCAATCATCTTTAAAATCCCAATCACAATTGGCTTCACCTTTTGGGACTGTTAACTTAGGTGATTTTTAAATGCAAACGTTGTATTATGTGGATTTTATGTGTGAACTTTTAACATTTTCAGTTGAATTAATGACTCAGGCCAACCATTTTGACTTAACCAACTCTTGTTATTCAGTTGTTATCACTATTAGGCATGCATTTGACTATCGCAACACGGAAATTACAATCGCAACGAGAGAATCGCAATGCGAAATGAAAATCCCAACATGAAAATCGCAATGCGGAAATGAAAATCGCAACGAGAGAATCGCAATGCGAAATGAAAATCGCAATGCGAAATGAAAAGCGCAACGAGAGAATCGCAATGCGAAATGAAAATCGCAATGCGAAAATGAAAATCGCAACGAGAGAATCGCAATGCGAAATTAAAATCACATTGCGATTCTCTCGTTGCGATTTTCATTTCCGCATTGCGATTTTCATTTCGCATTGCGATTCTCTCGTTGCGATTTTCATTTCGCATTGCGATTTTCATTTCGCATTGCGATAGTCATTTTTGCCTTCAACATAATGCAGATTGAAATCAACAAAATCAACCATTACATTTCAATCAATTAAACAAGCACAAATAAGAATTATGTTCGCATCAATTACACAAATCAACTTTTACAAATCATCTTTTACAAATCAATTAAACAATCAAAAAATAAGCAATAATTCTTATTTCCGATCATCTACTATTGAATCAACTTTTACAAATCAATTAAACAATCAAAAAACAATCAATTAAACTATTGAATCAACTTTTGCAGCCATACATCATTTTCACGCAGTTCACTTCTGAGATTAACCTGCAGAAACCAAACATTTGCT